ATCTATACATCCACGCTATTTTTATATATTTATCTCACCATGTATCTACCCTATCATAATTCCTTCCTATTCCTTTTATATTTTCAATCATTGTATCAATATGCGCTGTCAAATTTTTTTTATTTGTTTTGATAATCCTAACAGATTAGCCATCATTGTTTTGAATTTAAGAAAATCAAGAAAAAAAAGATAATCGGAATAGAAAACTCAAAATCTTCTTTTAATAATCCTAATAGAAAAGGTAGCCATCAATCTGTTTCAATTCAAGAAAATCAGGAAAAGAAAGATAATTCCAACTCAAATAATTCAAAATGAAATTTCTTGCTAATACTAGAATTCAAAAGGCACATTATCAAATAACCTAAACACAAATTAAGAATCATCCACATACTAAATTCTCCAAACCCACAATAAACGATAATCCTTATTTTTTTAAAACTCTTTTTCGTATATTTCTATGTATGTATGTATTTGCTCTAATGGTATCTTTTCTATGGTTGTTTTAGTTTTAGTTAAAGAGGAGATTTTATGAATATTAAGGTTTTATAAAAATGTCAAGAAGGATTGAATGAAAATAAATATTATTCGATGATTTAGAATAATATATTTTTAATTAATTTTATATATCTCTATTTAAGTAAATTTATATATATAGTGGCTCCCTAAATAAATGTTCTTTTTATTTATTTTTGTTATTGTATTTATTTGATATTGAACATGTGAATAAAAATGTTTGATCACTGATAATAATATAAGTTGGGCGCTTGCATAAAAAAGCATAGTGTGTCACATTTTGTATTTTGATTATAAATCAAATTGTCCACAACCAATATACAAGGGTTGACACTTAAAGGTTATATTGTCAAAAATTTCACAATTTGAGTGCTACTTGTCCTTGTAGAAGATATGGTTTAATTATGACTACATTTTCACAATTTGAGTGTATTAAATGGATTCACTACGCCAAAAATCACTTTTCGCAGTAGCCAAAAAACGTTGCGAAAAGGCTTTTGCAGCGTTTCATCAAGTGTTGCGGAGGGTAGTGTTGCTGTTGGGGAAAGAGATACGGCAACGTTTTTTAAACGTTGCCAAAGGGGTCCATATCTCCATTGGCTTTGTCAACATTTTGTAAACGTTGTCGTTGGTCTTTTCAATATTTTTTATAAATTAATGCGATTTTTATATATGCCTTCCTACGCTACCAGAATAAATATCTAATATATAAAGAGACTACAAGGCATCAAAATAAATATAAGAAATCATGATTAAAATGAGAAAACGAATTGCATTGAAATTAAACCATGTTAGCTTATACATTGTGCAATATTCACTCCATTATACATGATTTTAAATATCACTCAGCATCAATAACATATTTTCCATCATTTATTGGACCACTCACAAAAGGTGCTATTCATAACATATTTTTAGTACATTGCTCTGTTTCGATTGATATTCTGTAGCATCAAAAAAGGAGTTGCTGCAAAAAAATGAAATGAAGCCCATGTTTGAGCCCCATGGGAACAAGGTACCTCGCACATCCCTGCAATATCACATGACTCTACTGGGAACCACTTGAAGCTCTAACAAAAGTTTGCTACCATTGCAAAATAAGATGTACTTCGGTTTACAAACACACACTCACAAACCATGAGTTTCTTTTAAGCAAAATTTATCAATAAAATTACGGAAATTTATAAATGCACATTCCAAATAAAATTACCCGTTCCAAAAATGTTAAAACACAAATTTGAAACTAAATGGAATAACAAAAAAACAGTAGAAATGAACACAATCGCACACATTTAAATGACCAAAACACACAATAGAGACAAGTAATCCTCAAAAGAAGTCTCTAGATACTTGTAAATAAGTGCTTCGAAGCAAAGAAATGAATAATATATTCCTACAATCTATTCACTAAGTTTTGACACCAGCTAATTGAGTATCCAAAGAAACGAATAATATCTTCCTACAATCTATTCATTAAGTTTTGACACCAGCTAATTGAGCTTCATGTTTATGTAACCAAAAGCAATTCACTAATTTAACTAACATTTATATACAGATAAAACCATCATTCTTTTCAGACTTCCTAAACTCCAAACTAATCCTATTAACCACTCCATTTGTGCCACATATATTCTTCCTGCAATTACTCATCCAAAACCATCAACCACCACAACCAAATTCACTGACCCCGAATTCCTTTAATTAATAGAAAACCTAAGAATAGCACATCCTATTCACGTCAAAAGAACGGCTCAAGAACACAACATTTACTCTGGCATAATCACACTTTACCTGCCATACATGCACTAGAAAAAGACATCAGATTGGGAAAAGGGTTCACGTTGCTGAGTAATCATTAGATAGAACAACATACAAGGCAGTAAACAATTATTAAGAAGTTCAAACATAAAATAGAAATCAAATTTGAGAGGTCCGTATGCTCTAAAGTAAAAATAGTCGTCCAAAAGATTACTAATAGTCCTACAAAAGGAATAACCAATCGGAATACTCTAAAAATAGTCTAAACCTAATTTAAAACACATGATTAAGCCTACAATTAAGCCTAGTCCATTAGCACCAGCACACCTTACTTTCAAATGAGCAGGAGCCAACAATGGCACTGTCTTCTCAAACATTGTTTATCTATGAGAAAAAATTCTCTGTGTACAAACGACTTCAAAAAATAATGAAAATACTAAGGTCCCCCTTAAGATCATCCCTTTTACTGTGAAATTATTCCCATTGTTCACTCCTCAAATCTATAATACCCAGATCACCAAATTGTTTTTGCTCACAAAATCTAAATCGGGTAAACTCATATACTTCCCTATTGTCAAACTATGAAAGAATCTTCAACTAAATCTCCTTACCACATTTAGAAAAAAACCACTGCACAACCATTATTTTTTTGCAAATCCTAAACATGAAAACCAAACTTTCCAAACTATAAAGATATCCATTCTCCTCCTTTCAACATTCAGCTACACCACCTAAAAATCACAGTACAGAATTCCACTCTTTTTTCCTGCAGGTGTATTGACTCTATAAATCCCAAATATGAAAAATCAAAGTTCTTTATTAATAATTCCACAACTTAGGATAAATAACATTATACTAACAAATTGCCATCAAATTCCAAAAATTAAACAATAAAATTGCCAAAACTATAGCGAGAACGACAGAATATAAAATCTACCTAGCAAAGCCAATTAAATTCAGTTCTTTTGCTGTTGCATAATTTAAAATTTAGAGCAGAGGATTCGTTTCTTACTCCGGCCCACTCCCTCGCCCAAAGCGAAAACCAAAAACAAGAAGATGAAGATTGGAAATAAAACAAGAAGATGAAGACCTGATGACCTTGAAGAGCAATTTGCAGTCGCGGACGGAAGGTGCTGTTAGAGTGTAGGGAAACCTGGAAAGGAAGGAAGGGAACTACAAAAGNCAAAAACATTTATATTTTGCAACGTTTAATAAACGTTGCGAAAGGCACTTTTTGCAACATTTATTAATAAAATGTTGCTAAAACTCAATTATACTAACCAACTGCAACATTCACTTATCAAAATGTTGCGATAGACCCCTTTAACAACATTTAACTATCAAATGTTGCCTTTTATGTATTGCGAAAGCTCATTTTTTGCGTAATGATTGTGTGTTGAATGATCGTGCATAAAATTAAATTTGAATTATGCTTAGAGTACATTCCTAGGTTTACATCTTTTTTGACATTGCGTGGGAATTCAAAAGGTGTTGGGGAAAAGTATTGTCATTTTTAAAACTGTCAAATATATTGTGCCAACACGTGGCACAATATAAAAATTGATGTAAAAAAAGATGTACATGTATCATGATTGAATAAATTTCATTTGATCATTGTATATATCTTTTTTAGTTTGAGTATAATGTTTCTTTGAATTACCAAATGACGATATCAATTTGATTGTATAATATCTTGGTAAGTTAGGAGTTTACGATTGAGCGAATTAGTAGAGAACATGAATTCGTTTCAGGAACAATCGTCCTGAAAAATAAGTCAAGCGACTACTTTAAGTATTTTCTTTTGAACAATTTATGAATATTAGCTTAGTATTTAGTGACGACTAAATTTAGACATATGTGATTGATTCATATGACTGTTGGAAAAAAAATGTAACTTAATTTAATGAAAATAATTTGAGGGGCAAAACAATCATTTAAGCCAGTATCAAATTATCGAATATTGGATGAATATGGAATATATATGCGTCAGGTTTAAAAAAATGTTGCTAATATATTTTTGTTAGTCTTTACTGGAAAAAGAAAAGACTAAAATTAAATTATATAATCTAGGGTAGACAAAATATTATCTAATTATTGGAGCTTGAAAAATCTTTGCCCGAACATGTCCATGTGATAGCTATATAAAGTACTGGAGTCAATTTCATTTACTTTGAAAGTTTTAGACCAAATTGTAATTGAAGTTCCCAGACTACATGCGCAATTGAAAGTTGGCCAGGACATGGATTGAACCGGTTTTCGTCTATTTATATACGGATTAAGTGGCAGCTAGGGATTGTATTGCCTAGGGTTCGAATCCTTGAGAGAAAAATAGAGATCACTATCTTTTCTTGTTTTTTCTTGGACTGTTCAGTCCAGAATTAAGTTTTTGATTTAATTGAAAATGTATCCAAACATCGGTATAATATATATTTTGAAGAATATCATAGAAGACTTGAAGGTTAAGACCGTCGAGTTCTTGAATTAAAAGTTGGAAATTTGTAAATTCGAAATTGGAGATTCGTGAATTAGATTGATTCAAGAAATCGAATATCAATTTAATTAAATTATAAATCTATGTTCCTTGATTATAACATATTCTAGCTAACTATTACAAACTCAAGAGTAACACAAAGTATTATACATAGAATAAAACAACATATAACAAAATTGACTATGACATAAATCATTAACAAAGATTAAAGAAAAATGTGTCTAATTTTACATCTACCCTAATTAGAACATCTTTGAATGAGTAAATTCACACCTTGACCAGGCTCCACAATCATTCTATAGGCAGGAGAATGCTTATATTTTGGAGACAAAGAAATGGTGAAGTTGGAAATGATAAGTGAAATGACAATCTTCAACTGAACCATTGCAAAATTTCTGCCCAAACAAAGCCTAGGCCCCAATCCAAATGGAATATAAACTTGTGGAAGTTTGCATGCTTTTAAAATTCCATTTGCAAACCTTTGAGGATTGAACTCATTTGCATCTGTCCCCCAAATTTCTGGATCCCTGTGCAGTGTTGGGATCAAAGTCCATAGGCATACACCTTTTGGTACAACAATGTGGCCTATTTGGGTTTCTTGTAGTGCCTCCCTTGACACAAATGCTGCTGGTGGATACAATCTCAGCACTTCTTGAATCACCATTGTAACCTATACATTAAACGGGTTAAGATGGACTCTAAGTACTGGACAGTATATTATTCCAGAGGAAAGGAAATGGGTGTGTACCGTTTTCAGCTTCGGTAGTGAATCCGCGTACATTTGCGTGCCATCAGCACAGACTTGAGTAATCTCTTCTCGTATACGAGCTTGCCATTCAGGATGTAAAGCTAGAAGAATTAAGCACCACGATGCAGCAACAGCGGTGGATTCATGTCCCGCGAAATAGATGTTCTTGCAATTATCGACTATGAATTTCTTGGACGAATCCTTGCCCACATCATTTATGGCTCCCTCTAAGATTAACTGTAGTAGATCCTTCTCAGATGATATTTCTACTAGGCATTCCCTTTCTCTTGCATTCACTGCTTCCCAGATCAATGCCTCTATCTCGTTCTCCAAATTCTTGACTTCCTTTTGTTGCGCACTTGGAAGTAACCTGCAATGGCGTGCTCTAATAGGTTAAGCTTCTAGACGAGGTGAATAGTCAACACAAATTCATTTTACGGAGATGTACGTACATACCCAAATGTATGGAAACCGAAAAGAAAGCACTGGTTACTAATGACTTTCTGAAGTGCTCTAAGCTTTGAGAAAATCTGTTTTCCTTTCAAATAAGAGCTCCCAAAACAAGCTTTTGAAATTACATCAGCTGAGAGACTCCTCAAATCCTCTTCAGCTTTGATCTCTGCCATAATGCCACCTTGTGATTCTATGCAGGCCTCCCATTTGCTAGTTAATGTTTCAGCTGAATCCATCATCAATCCAACCATTCCCTGCCATTTCAATGAAGGGCTTTTGAATCAAACTCTTCATTAAGGATTAACAAAAACAAGTAAGATATAAATTAATGGCATGTTTGGTACTTTCCACTAACAAAATCATGAAAAAGAAATGAAAAATTGCATCATTCGTCAATTTGGTCCTCAACCTTTCATTATAGTTGCAAAATCATCTCAAGTATGGAAATTGTCTATATCTTTGTTAACATGCTTCAATTCAAATATCTCCATGAGAGTCCAAGTTAAAAAATTTCATAGAGTTGGACATGTGAGGTCCAGTGGCCATTTTGACATAAATATGGATGGTATCGGGCAACGACATCAAGAATCAATTGTACAATTTTATTTGAAGCAAATACACAATAAATTTGTCTTATCTGTTCACAGTATCAAATATGCCATATACATTTCAAGAAAACAGTTCTAAGAAATGTTTGGAAATAAGCCCATGTTTGACACACATTTTTTAAAAATATATTCTTTCAAAACTCATTTTTAACCACACATTCTTCAATAAAATAATATTTTCATCACATCAATAACTTTTCTTTACTTTTTAACCACATATTTTTCATCATGTTACTATTTAAAATACATTCTTTTTTCAATAACATCAATCAAACACACTCTAAAATTACCTTAACTTTATCCATGAAGAATTCTGGGGCAACAATTTTTCTCTGTTGAGCCCAAATATGACCATTGGACCTCAAAATGCCATTCCCAAGCATGGGAGCCAGTCTTTTTGTGACATATGAAGGCTTGCCTAAATGTAAAGATGTACTTTGATTCATTTCCTTTACTAGATCCGGATGGTTCATGTACAAATGCTGTTTATTCCCTGTTGAATATGTGTAAATGGGCCCTGCACATATAGCTTGTCAGATATATGTCAAATGGCGTGGATCGTAAACAGGGCCGGCCATGAGGCCGTGCGATAGTACAGGGTCCCATATGTTTGTGGTTGGATGTGTTTGTGGAGTTTGTTGGCCGTGATGGCATCAACAGTGGTGGCGCGACAGTGGATGTAACGCAGAGTGATAGAATAGAATGTGGTGGTGACACCAGCAATGACAAAGGTGGTGGTGGTGTAATGGTAAATGGATCAAGTGGTGGTAGAAGCCATGGTGACGGTGGAAATATGTGGCTAAATTTATTTAACACATTGTGTTACAATTGTCAAAAACGTTGTACAAGTATTTGTGAATTATTCCAAAAAAAAAAAACAGTTATCTAGCCCACAAAATACAGCCAATCAAAAAGGCTAAATCCAATAAATAAGAAAAAAAAAGGAAAAACTGATAAAAAAAGTTACTAAAATTAACTAAAAGAGTCGCTCTTTTAGAATTTTTATAGGGTGTTCAAATTCTTATGATCAACATAAGTCTTACACTCGTTGAATGTTCATGGTACTGTCGAATAAGGTTTACTTTCACGTATAAATGCTATATGTTCTCGATTGAGAAGATGTTTGGTAGAGATTAAAATCGGATTAAAATTGAAAAACTAGCCGTTATTGTTGACTTTTATTAGATGAGTGGGACCCAATAACGACCATATTTTCAATTTTAATTGGATTTTAAGGCTTACCAAGCAGGCCCTGAATATGTAAATTGCCCAAAGCCAGTATAAAAATCTACAAAATATTCTCACACACCACTTACATTATTGCATACATTGATGTGCATTTGTTTGTTATACACATCTTCGTTTTCAATTTTAATGCTTTGTCTAGCATGCAACATGTTTCAAATCAAGGTGGCCCTATGGTTGTTGGTTGATGTACACATTATGCATGTGACGAAACCCGAAAAAAATAATTATATAAAAATCCAAGAAAATTGTAGTGTTGAATGACGTGTGACCTACTCTTTCAGGCATTCTTAACTAGGTGAAAATTTCTAGCACATATGCGCAACATAATGTGCGTCCTATCAATCTATAGCCCCTATTTGACATTCATTCACTTCCCATTTTCTTTCTCATTTTTTTGTTTCTTCATTTCAACCACACATTCTATCAATAAAATAATATTACACATAAATCCAAAAATTATTATTACTTTTTAGCCACACATTCTTCCCATCAATCACTATTCCAGAATTTATTTTTCTCCAAAATGGGTGTCAAACACACCCATAATGGTTGGAGAAATCCATCAAATCAATATGACTGTTCATATATGAGAAATGGAACGCTTCACTTTCAAAGTATATTCATGACAATAATATATGAGATATGACACTGCTTATGGTGGGTTACAACTTATAATTTGACTTTATAATGGGACTACAATGTTGTCCAACTTTGAAATGTTTGGTTAGTAATGTATTTCCTTAAATAGTAAACATATGTTTTTTTATTTTTTCCTAGTTTCATGTCTTCTCAACTATCACGAAGATTGTACACGTAAGATTATATATTGATTTATTTGTTAAAAAAAAAAATCTAATATTGGGACTTATTTTTAACTTGTTTAGATGTGAGATACAACCATACAAGTTCAAAAAAAGGTATGAAAATTGGCCATGTGAAAAGGAAGCACAACTTTGAATGATTAATCTGTGGATTTTGGACATGTCAGGCAGTTGTCCAATATGTGTAATGGAAAGATGACAGAGAAAAATCACATCCACATTACAAGTCTAAAGGTGGGGTTGTCTAGATTTGACTGAGGGTCGATCTGTTTGAAAAGATGGATCGTATTGGCAGAGAGCTTATACTGTTTGACTCATGCAAACTCTTTTTTTTATTAGGTAAAGAGTAAAGAATTTCTTTAGAGCTCGATGATCCATCTAATATAGCACTAGTTATGTTGAATCTAAGGGTCCGTTTGATTGACAGAATGGAATTTGGATGAAAGAAAATGAATTATAGGGAATTGAATTGTCTAAAACTGTTTTTCTTAAAATTGTCAATTAATTGTATTTAATTGGTATAATTTTTCACCTGAAAAATGTCTAAATTTTGGATCTTTTGGTGTTCGTTTGACTTTGTTTTTCATGGAGTCCATTAAAGGGAATTTTTTTTTTTTTTTACAATTGGGTATAAAATTTGTTTCTATTGCCAAAAAAAACTTTGGAAAACCATTTTCCCACTAAAGTGGTGGGAAAACCAATTCAATGAAAACACGGAAAAGGGATCACGTGGGGGGGGGGGGGGGGGGGTTTGCCAAGAAAAATTTGGCTATCAAACAATACAGAAGTTTAAAAAATACGATGAATCAAACAGGACCTAATTATTTTATGCAGATAACTACTGTACTTATTATCAACGAAATTATGGTTAATTAATTTAGCATTTATAGTGACAGCTTATGGTCTTTCAATTTAAACAATATTATTGAATTGTTTTGTACATATTCTCCAATAATTGTATCTAACATGGATGTCATATTAGATGATACAGCAGAAATCAAAATGGAAAACAATAAATCAATTATTTGAACAACTATAGACCAAAACATTATTAAAATTTATGTCTTTGGCCTTCATGAAATTGATACAATTTCCAGCTTCAGTTAAGATGAAATAATAATGAAAAAATATATATTTTTTTTTGTTTTAAATACTAAATTATACTTGTATGAGTGGAACCAAATCATTCCCCTCTAGTTGTAGTTTAGAAATTATTGGATTCTAATGAAATCGACACGTTTATAAAAGAGGAACATATCGATCTAAAATATAATTTACAGAACTAAACAAATTTAAGAGCCTCTGATAGCAACGGGGCGAGTTCATGGAGGGGTCCCGCCCCGCCCCGCCCCGCCCCGCCCCGCCTCGCCTAGCCTAAGCTCGATGCGGGGCGCGAGCCTGCACCGTTTGTTATTATTATTATTTTTTTTAATTTCCCGTTAAAATACAAATTCAAAATTTTAAAAACCTAAACAAATAATGTTCAAACTACGGGGCAGGAAAAATTGTAAGAGGACATATATGTGATAAATCTCGATGAATAACGACGACATATTTATGTCACTCGCACGAGAACTTCACCGATTTAAGTTTACTAAATTTTGAGTTAGATTTACGAAAAATAAAAATAAAATAACATGGGTTTCGTACCCCCATGTGATATATAGGAAAAGGATACATTGTATGCTAGTTTTGCCTAACTTGGGTCAAATGCACACATAATGAGTCCCGCAATTAAAGGCATTCAGTTCAATGTATGTAACACTCTTTGCATTATAATCCCTTTCTCATCATATAATAATGCTAGTAGCACCATCAATTTAGATAGCAGTAAAGTTCACTTATTTATTGTCGAATCTATAATATATTAAATATCACATCAATTGAGAATCATTTTTTGAACAATTTTTACTTTATTGCAATTAAATTATTTCAATAATATCTTACTTTTCATTTTTCAATATGTAATAAATACTACAAAATAATTCTCATGTATTAATCTCGTGTTATTAATTCTCAATTAATTAATATTAACATTCACGTTAATCTAAACTCAATGAATTTTGATCTATATGAATCTAAAGTTATTATAAATGAATTTATTTCTATTCATATATCTAAAAATTTTAATTGGTGTTTAAATTTATGTATTAGCAATTAATTCTTATATATCAAATATAGTATAAAAATGTTGTTCATTTGTAGTATTTCATCACCACAAAAAAATTGAATCAGTAAAGTTGAGTTTTGAGTACAATTTCTTCTCTAAAATTTATATTCTAAATTTTATTTTCTTTAGTTCGTTTGAGACTCATCATATTTTCCAACAAATTGGTATCAAATATTACTTTTACGAGAATTATAAAATATTTTAGAATAACGTGCAATGCACGTTCAACTGACTAATTAACTGACTAATAAAATAGGGAGTACATTACCATCTCGACCTGCTAAAAACTAACATTACTTATTCTACAACTCGTACACTCTAGCCAACACTTTTGAATGCACTCGAATGAGAAAATGCATTTCTTTATATTTTCTTCTCAGAGTAAGGACTCTTTTAGCATGACTTTTAAAAAGTTAACTGAGCTTTTGAGATCTAAAATTTACTTTTGTACCCATGTTACTAATTTTATAAAAGTATTTTTCCAATTCGAAGGGTTTTAAGAGGAAGCGAGTTTAATGTAGTTTCCTCTAAAAGCACGTCCTGAATAGAAAACTTTTCTTAAGATTAATTTTCAAACAAAAATTAAGGTAACTTCTTTTAAAAGCTCTTCTATAAAAAGCAAAAACAAAAATAAAAGCAAAAGCAAATGTAAAAGCATGATTGACTTCCACTGTGCCCTGCTTAAAAGCCGACAAGAGCGGGTTGACAGTATCTGTTCGAAACCCCAGCTTTCAAAATGATCTAACGTGTTTATAAACAGATTAATAAACAAGCAAAAAGTTGCAGAAATGGAAGCATCTATGAAACAAAAACACAAACACATGGATGATGCCAAATGAGAAACAAAGAATATAAACTGTACTTTACCATATTGTTTTCTCCACTGTTCAAAATATGGGAAGAGTGTTGATGTATAGTTATGTGACACAAATGCTGTGTTTTCTGCACCTGTGTTCTTGATTGATGATGCTTGAATTCTCTGCATCTCAGGCACATTTCCATACAGAAAACATGGCCTTGGCCCTCTGATTCCTTGCTTTTCAAGTCTCCACCGTAGCCGCCATGGGTTCACCCAAACACAAGCTTTCTTTAGTACAAATATAATTGCAGAAAGAAGAAGAAGAAGAAGAAGAAAAGGGACTTTCATTTTTGGGCTTCTCTTTGATTTCTTTACACTATATATATATACTGGTTGAATATAGAATATTGCACAACTGGTTCATTATCTTTAATTAATTATTCAAACAAAGATAGGTAAGGCAGTCTTGTACACAAAACGAAAACTAAAGATGATTGGAGCAATTAAAATGATTTGTCAAATTACAATAAAAGAGGAGGCGTGTTAGTTTAGTAAATAAGATTTTCTTTGGATACGAAGTTCCGTAGTGCTAATAAAAAGATTATTCTACCGTCCAAGATAAAGGTGGCAGGCGCGAGTGAACTTAGAGCAGAGGCACCATCTTTTTATATCAATCATGCTTGGTTTCATTTTTTACATTATTGTTTACATTCTAGCGCGTTGTATTCAGGGACGAATTCAGGATCGAATCACAAACCGGGCTAATACGTAAAAAAAAAACAAAAAATTACCCAAGAAATTTTTTTTTTTTACATAAAATTATTTTTTCTACTAAAAAAATTGAATGGGCCATCAGATCCGTCCCTGGTTGCATCATTCAATTGGACAGTTTAAAAAAAATAATTTTTTCAATCAAATATTTTTTTTTTTTTTTTGACAACATGGCAAACGTCATTCATAGTGTAAGAAATGAATGTACAAGTGACAAAATCTTATTTAGATTGAGGACACTTCTGCATACATTCAAGAAGACTAGGACGAACTATAGTCTTCTGAAATACATGGTATAAGAATAATTCATGGAATCTCCTTCTAGAAAATCCAAAAGTGATCATGAGCTAGAGAGAGACTACATTCGATCGACATATGATGACGAGAAGTATGATTATGACGGAAGTATTGTAGTTTCTTTAAGTCTTACATTATAGTGCCTTGCCTTGCTGTTTTGGACATGGTAAGTTTAGTTTATTTCTTTTGTACCAATTTTTGTGGTGAATTATATCTTTTGTTTTTCAATTTAACTGACGATTATGTTTGCATCAGTCGAGGTGACATTGAAAGTTCGCTTTGGATTGTTCTATGAAATTGTAATATATTTAATAAATTGAATAATTAAATGTAGCATGTAGCTCTTGATTGATAAGAATCAAAATCTAAATTTTAATTTAAGTCAATAATTAATTTTAATTATATATTTCATGGGATCCATAATTTTTCAACCACATCTTTCATGATTTTTTTTATCAAAATCTATTAAAAATCTGATTTAATCTCTACCAAACAAAGTCTATACTGTTACTAAGCCCTTGTTTGGTGAAAATTAAAATCTAAATTTTAATCCAAATCAAAGTTAACAATATATTTTGTGGAATCCACAACTTTTTAACCATAAATTTTATCAATTTTTATCAAAATATGTTAAACATTTGATTTTAATCTTCACTAAAGAGGCAAACGAGGACTAAGACTAGTACCAAAAATGCTTGTATTGGAATGCATAGTTATTCTAAAACAAGTAGTGCCTAAGCATCATTTCACAATGACTTTCTTGTCAATATTATCATCGATATGTATGGATTATTACTGTATCCATGTGTTTTTTTTTGTGACAACTTCATTAACTTATGGACTTCGCCAATAACCCATACTCGTGATGAGTTAATAGGACATTTTGAAATGATAAAGACTCGCCCGGTTTGTTGGTAAATAGAATTTTGAATAATAATTTTTTTGAGAATGTATAATTAAAAAGTTGGGAAAAAATTGATTTAATGTGGAAAATATTTTATTGTATAAATGTGTAGTTAAAAATGAGTATGAGAATTAAAGAGTTTATTCATTGATCAAGAATTTCAATTTTCGAGAAGTATCTCGAAATAGTGATTGTCAAACAACGACTGAATAAATTACTTCTAAATTAAGTTATTAGCGGAGTCAGGTTTTGAACGGAATATTTTGGATTGGACCATTTTCTTCAAGAAGTCAAATCGCCCTATAGTAGAGTGTTTACTATAAATTTTAGAAATAAATTATAAATAATTAACATATAGAAATTTTTTTCTTAAAGGATCGATGGCCAATGAGTAAAAAATAAGTTACGGTATGTTTGAGCCACATTATTTTGGAAAAATATATTCTGGAATAGTAAATTGATGAAGAATGTGTGGTTGAAAAAAAAAGAAAAGTTATCGATGTGATGAAAAATATTTTTTTATTAAAAAATATATGATTGAAAATGAGTAAAAAAATGAGAATGAAAATTTTCAGATGACTCAAATGGGGCTTTAAACTTAATTTTAATTATACTTCTTGTTATCATATGTGTCAATAGTTTTACCTGAAAAGTTCATATAAAGAAAAGCACAGTCGCTATCAAGATCGAATTTATCAAGATTTCTCAAAAAATGGCAGAACAATCACAGTATCATGTGGTCCCTACGTTTGAACACATACATTATGTATAATCAAAAAATTAAAGGGAAAAATCATTTTATTAGACCAACTTTTTTTAAAAGTGCTTTTAATCGGACAAAGCATTTTTAAAAAATTATTCAAACATATTCGAAAAATATTTTTTAATCTCAAAAGCAAATTTTGACTTTTTAAAAACCTTATCCAACTGCCCTTAGTCCAATTCATAATTGAGATGCGCTACAATAACTGGGTCGGCCAAAAACAGGGGACTGAGGTGGCTTTATCTTGACCCTTAATCTGATTTTCAACAGTAAAAATCAAGGGTCAAGGTGGCGCCCTATTTTCTGGTCGGTCACCGACACTGTCCGTTTAGTATTTTTGTTCATAATGTAACCACTAAAACACTAACTGGCTTATTAAAATTTGATTTGCATATGTTATAAAACTGAGCTTAGGTTTAAAACCTCAATTAAAAATTTTAATTATGTTAATGCAAGTAAGCTAAGTTATGCAATGATAATGAGACCAAGCTAAGAATTCTAATTATGTTAATGCACTATTTGCATCCATGATTTTTTTTTTTTAAATGATGGAAGTTAAAAAGTGTTTTTTTGCCCAAAATACCGCTTGAGTGAAATCAGGCGCGTTACTGGGCTTCTTAAAGAAGCTCGAGCAAAACTCAAGCGCTCCAAGGCTAGTAGGCTTTAGCAAATTTCACTCAAGTGTCTTCTTCTGATCTTACCTAGCGCCTTAGGGGGGATTTACAACAGTGCATATTAGACTACAGATTATATACTTTACGTACTCTCACTCAATACCAGGCAATACAAGTCCCAAATCCAATTAAAACTCGACGATTACAGCACAAACCTCAATGAGTAAAAAATAAGTTACGGTGTGTTTGAGCCACATTATTTTGGAAAAATATATTCTGGAATAGTAAATTGATGAAGAATGTGTGGTTGAAAAAGAAAGAAAAGTTATCGATGTGATGAAAAATATTTTTTTATTAAAAAATATATGATTAAAAATGAGTAAAAAAATGAGAATGAAAATTTTCAGATGACTCAAATGGGGCCTTAAACTTAATTTTACTTATACTTCTTGTTATCATATGTGTCAATAGTTTTACCTGAAAAGTTCATATGAAGAAAAGCACAGTCGCTATCAAGATCGAATTTATCAAGATTTCTCAAAAAATGGCAGAACAATCACAGTATCATGTGGTCCCTACGTTTGAACACATACATTATGATTATGTATAATCAAAAAATTAAAGGGAAAAATCATTTTATTAGACCAACTTTTTTTAAAAGTACTTTTAATCGGACAAAGCATTTTTAAAAAATATTCGAACATATTTGAAAAATATTTTTTAATCTCAAAAGCAAATTTTGACTTTTTAAAAACCTTATCCAACTGCCCTTAGTCCAATTCATAATTGAGATGCGCTACAATAACTGGGTCGGTGACCGACCCAAAAACAGGGGGCTGAGGTGGCTTCATCTTGACCCTTAATCTTATTTTCAACAGTAAAAATCAAGGGCCGAGGTGGCGCCCTATTTTCTGGTCAGTCACCGACACTGTCCGTTTAGTATTTTTGTTCATAATGTAACCACTAAAACACTAACTGGCTTATTAAAATTTGATTTGCTTATGTTATAAAACTGAGCTTAGGTTTAAAACCTCAATTAAAAATTTTAATTATGTTAATGCAAGTAAGCTAAGTTATGCAATGATAATGAGACCAAGCTAAGAATTTTAATTATGTTAATGCACTATTTGCATCCATGATTTTTTTTTTTTTTTTTAATGATGGAAGTTAGAAAGTGTTTTTTTTTTCCAAAATACCGCTTGAGCGAAATCAGGCGCGTTACTGGGCTTCTTAAGGAAGCTCGAGCAAAACTCAAGCGCTCCAAGGCTAGTAGGCTTTAGCAAATTTCACTCAAGTGTCTTCTTCTAATCTTGCCTAGCGCCTTAGGGGGGATTTACAACAGTGCATATTAGACTACAGATTATATACTTTACGTACTCTCACTCAATACCAGGCAATACAAGTCCCAAATCCAATTAAAACTCGACGATTACAGCACAAACCCCATCGAAGAGAAACAGATTTGAGTGAAAAATTAGAGGAAAAGGAAAGAAAAAAGGTGAGAATATCAAACATAAATATTAAAACCTTTAATTTCAAATATAAAAATTTTATAGAAGAATAGAGATTGACGGAGAGTTTATTTTGAGATTGTAGGAGGATTTATTTATTTATTATTATTAAAGAATAGAGTAAATTGTAGTCTATAAAAGTGAGCAGTCAAGGGTAATGGCCAACTATAGAATTTTTGGAAAAAAAAAAAAATATATTATGTGGGATCAATTGACCTCACACGATCCCATGTGCGTCCGCCAGTGGATCGACTGGGGTGGACCCGCAGGAGCTGCCGCTACTTCGTTAACATCATCACCGTTCATTTTTCGCCCACTCCTCCCATAAATCAATATTTTAAAATTCAACCAATCAAAACACAATTAACAAATAAACACACTAAAAGCCGTCTATTTTCACTTCAATAAATTACCAGAATCTCAAAACTCTTTTCTTATGTTCCCGAATAATTTTCTGAGCTTTTCACACATTTAATCAGAATTACCCG